CTTTGAGTTACTACTTCTGTAAAGAACAGTTTCCAAGAAGTGGTATGATCCTGCTACCCTCCATACATATTTTTCCTCATACTACTTATGCACTGTGTCTAGAAGGGCAGTACAAATACACTGCATGTCCAAGACTGCCAAGCTGTGTTAAACTTGTGGTATTTGTTGTAGTTGTATCTTTACCTGAAGTTTTTTTATAAGCATCTTCTCATTGCTTTTGTACACATCTTTCATAAAAGCCTTCAGGGAAGCAAATGAAATAAACTACTTTAACAGCATGTAAGCTGGTTCGCCTATCTGTGGGCAAATGCAAACATGCTTAGAAGAGCCTCAGGCAATCTTTTCACATGTAGTGTCTAACAAGCTGATAAACCACCTCTGGAAAGGAAGCAGGTACAATTCAGGACCTGCAGTGACAAGTAGAAGCTGACAAGCAACACAAGAATAGCCCTATCAAATCAGGCCACCGCTATATCTAACCTAGTATCTTAGCTCCTATAGTACCCAAACACAGGTACCCAAAAAAAACCATAATAAAACAAGCAAATGGGACACTAGCTATATTGCAGTAATAACCAGATTTTTTATTAACTGCAAATCATACATGTCATTTCAAAACACCACAACATATAAATGTGCACTTCTCACAAGGACAAGAGCTTCAACAGGTAGGAAATATTATTAGAAAGACGTGAGAAGAGTTCTCTTCACCTCCTCCTTCAGACCTAGGCTTCAAAACCTACTTCAGATTGCTTTGTAAAGTTTGCCAGGGAAGACAGAATACACAACTTCAAATCCAAATACACACCTCAGTTTATTAGCACCACAGCTATTGTACTTCTTTCACATTCTTGGAATTGTTAAGAGATCAAAAGGATGCAACTCGCAGCAAGACTTTACTACAGCAGTGAATACCCTTTCTTTGTGCTGAATGCATTCCTAGAAAACCAAGGGCCCATTAAATTTCAAGATCCAAACTCAAACATCACAGAGAAAATGACTATCCAAAATGTGATACAGATGAACTTGTTCAATTGAGATGTAGTACTTTGATGACACCAACTTATTTTCTCTAGTGTGGGTTTCTGGGGCTTTGGGGATTTGTGGGCTTTTTCAAAGTAATGAAAACTCTGGACACTTCAGAATTTATTTTTTGTTCAGTGAGACTAAACTATTTCCAAATTGCAAGTTGTTATGAAAAGAAACTCTGGAGAAACAAGAAGAAGGAATGAACACAGCTGACTAGTTTTTGCAATCTGTGGACTCTCAAACCGAATGTGGAGTTTTGAAGTACCATAATAATATTACTGAAGGAACACTACTGTAGAGGAGAAATAGGCTTGCTTTTTAATGTTCACTTTTCACAGACTCCTTAAAATCAAGGATCTCCAGTGATCTGCAGATATGAAGCAGAAAAGTACATGAACACTGACCTGCACTCCTGCTGCCCTCCTATTTTCCATGTGTGGAAGAGAGGAGGAGGAGAAGGATCACTGGAGAATGCTCAGTGAACCTTGACTACCGATCAAACAAAGCGACCTTGTTCACTCCGATTGTCACAGGCCTTCACAGTCAGAGGACTGCTCTATCCTCCTCACAAAAGGTGTCCTCAGAATTTCCATCAAAATGAGTGGCGATTATAAAGATCTTAATTTTCAGACAATTCAAGTTCCAGCATCTTTGTCTCTCTGGAAAGATGTATGGAAGTTTACAGACTGAAATTTGCACCTTTGAGCAACTTGACATGATCTGGCAAAAATCGTTTTTCAAATTGAAAGTCCAGTTTAACCTCTTATGATATGAAACATGCATCAACAAGTATACTGAACATCAGAAAAACACACGTTTACCTATCATAAAATGCATCCAAAAATTACCTTTACTGCATTTTTCATTGTAAATTGGCTTTCTAGCTCAACTGCTGTCTTAAGTTTGCTGAAACGCACAACTATTTCACTAGAAAAAGTGAACATAAGCTAATGGAACAAATAATTTGTTTTAGGGATGTACAAGCCAGTACATTTTCCTCCCCTGCTGCTGCCCTCCAGTTCAGTATCTTCTAACCTAAATGGGTAAATTTCAGAAACAAAGCTATTACCCTTTTTCATTTTGCACCTAGAAATCCTGGGCATGAGCAAGCCTAGGTTAACAAAACCAATTCAGAGGGAAGTTCATTGTTTAAAATGTACTTTCAGATGTGGTCAAAACAGATGCAGACATGTTTTCAGCACCAGAGCAATGCAAGTCGCAAAAATAACTCAATTTACTAACATGATCAGGTAACCTCAAAACCAGAGACTGGATGGCAAATTATTATTATTGTGGCTTTCCCCCTCAACTTGCCTTTGTTCATGTACCTAACCTTCTACTGCTTGCGCAAACAACGCCCGAGCCAGCTCTGAGCTGCTTATTAAAAAAAAAAAAAGCCACTGTTGTGGAACTGAAAATTCAGACATTGTAATAAAGGTTGTAACAGGGACAACACAGCAATAGCATCTACAATTGAGAATTCTCTCTCTTCAAATTGGGACTGGCTACTGAAGATGCAGGAAAAATCCCATAAACAGGCAACGTCACTGGCACAAATATCAGCCATTCAAGCTGTCTTGCACAGCATGTTGCAGACAGGACAGTTCCTCCAGCCTTTTTAGGGAAGACTTCCTTAGCAGCTTTTTGACGTGCCATTTCAATTCAGAGCAACACCTGGTATTTCATCTTGAAAAGCACATACTTGCCCTAGGGATTAATAGAGCAGTACAGCAGTGCTCTGGAAAAGGCTATGCAAATGCAACTACTATGCACCTAGGGGAGTGCAAAACAAAACAAAAACTTCATATTATCCAGAAACCCTTATCTTGTTTATGTTAAAGAGCCTCTATATCTTCTGATTGCTTCCCTGAAGAGCTCAAGGGCAACAAAAACTCATTTAAGAATATTTAAATGCAGCATTGAGACACAATACAGAATCTTTGAAAATGCGAAGGGAACATTCCTACATGCAACTTTAGACAATATTACCATTCTAAGCAATTTTGACACCTGTGAATAAAAAACCCCACATTACAGTACTACAGCATAATTTTACTTTGTTGTCATTTGAAAATCCATGATTTGTACGGTTACAAATGTTTATATTCATTCTGCTTAGCACAAAACGTCGATACAAAAATGTTTCTCTAAGACAAGAGCAATCACATAATTTTTTATTTTTCCATATACATCTGAAAGAGCCTTAGGATTTGCTCATAAATTATTTTTGTAACTTGTGTTTAAGTTATCTTACCATTCAGGAATTCCTTTTATGTATAAACCCAATAAACCATCCCATTCAGTATCTAGAGTAGATTAACAGTTACAAGTTGGCACTAGAGTCTCTATCACTACTCATTTACCCCATTAGTTTTAGACAAGGCTATTGATGGAATGTAATACAACTTGATGAGTAAAAATTATCATTTAAGGCTCTATCTAGCAAGAGTTATTCTTTGTCAATGACTTCATAAACATAAAATAAATCCATGCAGAAACCCATATTAATTCATAACTCACCCTTTGGGGATTTCCCTACCTAATCTGTCTAAAACCATCTGTTAACAATGTTGAAAAGCAAGAAAGCTGCTTTAGCTCTTTTTGTGCAAGATCACTGTGAGGCAGTTTTAACTTAATACCTATTCTGCTGCAGAACTACAAAAATTCGGTTTAAACTATAGAGAATCCATTAATCAGATCTCATCAATTTGAAAGATAAGATTCCACTAAAAGAGAGCAATTGATTTTCAGCTATGTCAGTAAGAAGCATCTTATTTCAGCTACTTGAAATGTTACTCTGACTCATTTATCACATCAAAGACTAAAGTACTGAAGATTATAAAGCAGGAGCCAAGCTTAACTCAAAGCCAGTTTCACCACCCAAGGGTTCACAGAAAAAAAACAACCACAAAACACCCTGAAATCACAGCGGTTTCATGGTAGTGCTATTGCTCATGTAATAACGTTCAAGTGTAATTTTTCTTGTAAAGCAGAATATTATTGGTGATGTTAACATCATGATTTCATAACATAACAAAAATAACTTCATTTACCTATTTAGAATATTTAAGCTACTCTTGTGCTCCTCAGCATACCTTAAAAATCACAACTGTAATTGGTTAACTAGTTACCTTTGACTGTTTCATAACAGCCTACCTTCAATTACTAAATAGCTGTCAATTGAAAACAGTAAGAAGCCTCAGTAAAGGGAAACCTGCAACCACATCAGCCCAGAGATACAACTGATACTGTGACTGAAGTAACCACATGAACCACAGCCAGATGACAAACTCCGAAGGCTGATTTATGCAGGTCACTCTTTCAGGGGCGCAGAGTACATAGCGTAGGCTGAGTAACAGTTGAGCTGCTGAAGCTTCATTTTCCAGAAAAATAACTTGTATCCCGTGGAAGATTTGTAAAACAAAACACAAGCTCACAACTTAATCCACAATACCTATGGAAGCAAAGGGAGGAGAAGAGTCAGTGTGATAGTGACTAATTGAAACTAATGAGGTGCAACTCTGTACACAAGCAGCACATCATATGCTTCCAGATTCAGCAGCAGTTAATGCGTATGACTCTGCATCCACGGCACAGTTTCTCTGCAGTACAGGATGTAAACTAAAAAGAGTTTAGCAGGAGGCTTGCTTCACTCAGTACAAGTTACAATGCAAGCCTCTATGCCATAATTCATAATTTTATTACTCAACAGTAGTGCCAAGTCTCAAGTATAAAGTGAAGACCAAATTAATTCACAAAGAAGAAAATCCTGGAAAAGTGGAGAAACAGCTTCTCAAAGCTTGCAAGTTATCAGAACTTTAAAAGTACTAAAGGATGCAGACTAGTACCCAAGAAGCATCTTGTAAGGGGTCAGATTCCCCCCCCCCTACTTTTTCCGAAAAGGAATTTTCCCATCCTCCAAAGAAAAAAAAAAAACCATAAGGGGCAAAGCACAAGCCCTGGCACCATACTGGAGCAAGAACAGTCAATAAGTTAAGAACCCTGTAGCACCCTAGAAGTGGGAAAAAAGACCTATAGGTATCAAAAAATGCTTAGTGAAACAAGACAGCAGAGGGACTTGCTGGAACAAATCTCTCAGTGCATCAGCTGCTTGGGAAATGCAAATAAGCTGAAAGATATGAGAGCTTGGACTCAACACTGGAGTTCAGAAAAGGAATGAAACTATACATATTCCTTAATTTTATGAATGTTGTCCAGAGAATATATGACATACTTCTATTTAGACTCTAAAGGAGAAAAACACATTTCATTCACAAGTTCAAAAGCAAGTGTGTAATGAGCCTGTAGTGCGATATAGTATTATGGCCACAGACATTCAAACATCAGCTTCTATACAAGACTAATGCATGATGTGGAGGTGTTGTGGTTTAACCCCAGCCAGTAACTAAGCCTCACGCAGCTGCTCACTCACCCTCCATACCCCAGTGGGATGGGGGAGAGAATAAGAAGGGTGAAAGTGAGAAAATCTGTGGGTTAAGATAAAGAGACAAAGCAAATGAAAACAAGGAATTCACTCACTCCTCCTTGCCAGCAGGCAGGTCTCCGGCCATCTCCAGGAAAGCAGGGCTCCATCATGCATCACTGACAAACACCATCACTCCGTTCAGAGTCCCCTCCTTCCTTCTTCTCCCAGCTTTATATACTGAACATGACATCATATCATATGGGATGTCCCCACTGGGTCAGCTGTCCCAGCTGTGTCCCCTCTCAACTTCTTGGGCACCCCCAGCCCACTGGTGGGGTCATGTGAGAAGCAGAAAAGGCCTTGACTCTGTGTAAGCACTGCTCAGCAATAAAGAAAACATCCCTGAATTATCAACACTGTTTCCAGCACAAATCCAAAACATAGCCCCATACTAGTTACTGTGAAGAAAATTAACTCTATCCCTGCCAAAACTGGCACAGGAGGAAAAACAGACAGGGAAAATGTGTTGGGTCTTCCCCCTTCATCACACCCCCAAAGTTTTTGTAGACTTCTAAGAATAAAAAGCTAGTGATATCAAGTTAGAAGTCTAACAGTGCTCTTAATAGAGGACTCTCTGCTTTAAAGCTGTTTGCAAAAAAACCAACAACAAAAAAAACCAAAACCATTAAGACAAATCCATGACTGAGTAATTCCCAAGAATACTAGTTCTGCAGCTATTAAGTTCAGAAGAAATGAATGCTCATTGAAAGGTATCATGTGCATGTATGTCACTTACCATATACAAAACTCTTACATAAGTTTTTGCCAGTGTTGGTGCCACAAATGCATACATTTCCCAAGAAATTAGTCTTACGAAGCTCCTTTGCTACATTCAGAGGAAATACCCTTCAGTAAGGACACATACTAAGGTCCACATCTACAAGCATACTGAGGAACTGAACTGAGTTGCTGTTCAGAGTTCTACTACTACTACTGGGTACAACATGAGCAACCCAGTAGTTTCCAGTCATCTGAGGACTTCCAAGCCACAAAACAACTTTCCCAAAGACACTGTCACCCTACAAACAAAATTCAAAGACCAGTGTAACAGAAAGGCAGCATACTGAACTCCATGTCTCCAGATTTACACTTCTCTTAAATCTCTCTTTGATACAACATGCTTGTTCAGTTCCATGGAGAATAACATCAGTTCCACTAAACATACAGTAACTTATCAGCTGTTACAGTCCATTTCTTCAGGAGTTATGACTGATATACTCAGTTACTTCCTTAATGCAGCTTTGCCCCATCCCTTTGACAAAAAATAAGAGCAGAGCAGCTATTCTTATCTGTGCTCAGCTACAAAAGTGAAGCAACCCCTACTCCAGAATGCATCCATGTGATTCACTTGGAGAATCTGTGTAGAATCAAAGTGACTGCAGAAAAGGCTATGAAAATATTAGATAAAATGAACCGGAAAAACTCGCCAACATTATGTTATTCACTAAGATTTCAGGGGACTCAAAGATGCAATGGATTGTATCAACTTTCTCATGCAATTTCCTGCTTAAAACTAGACTGACAGTTGAGGTATGGAGGTTGCCTGACACTTGTACGTGGCAAATCAATATAAAAAATTAGGAAGAACAGAAGTAGTGGACACTCAAATAAATACAAAGTACTGGCAAAGACTCTACATAGTGTTTGTTGAAGGAATTCCTGCCTCACAAAACAACCATATTTCTCTGGAGAGAACCCAGATTTCATGGATAAGGAGGTGCTCTGCTGAAAGAAAACTAGGAAACAAATTCAATTTCAAAGGACACCGAGTAAGTCTCTGAAAAAAAATTGAAAGAGGGCCCTTTGTATGAATATTTAACTAATTAAGAGACAAAATGATAAGAAGGAAGATGAAAGCAGAAAGTAAATGATTGCTTACTTTCATAGAGGGAGATGACCAATGGAGTTTCACACAAATGTATGCTGGGACATGGATTATTCTACATAACCATAAACAATGAGGAGAGAGAAGCAGGTAAGAAAACTATGAAAGTTTGTTGGTGATCCTCAGTTAACTTTTAGAATCATAGAATTGTAGAATGTATTGGGTTGGAAGGGACCTTTAAAGATCATCTGGTCCAAACCCCCTGAAGTGAGCATGGACACTGTTACTGGATCAGGTTGCTCAGAGCCCTATCAAGCCTGACCTTTAGTATTTCCAGGGATGGGGTCTCCACCACCTCTCTGGGCAACCTGTTCCAGTGATCTATCACCCTCATATTGAAGAACTTTTTCTTAATATCCAACCTAAATCTACCCTGCTCTAGTTTAAAACCATTACCCCTCGTTCTGTTGATACATGCTCTTGTGAATAGTTCTTTCCTAGATTTCTTATAGGGACAGCAGTACCTGAAAGGTCACTTTAAAGTCCCTCCGGATCCTTCTCTTATCCAGGCTGAACAACCCCAACTCTCTCAGCCTATATTCGTAGGAGAGGTACTCCAGCCCTTGGATCATCTTCGTGGCCCTCCTCTGGACCCACTCCAGCATTTCAATGTCCTTTTTAAGTTGGGAACTCCAAAGCTGGACACAGTTCTCCAGGTGAGGTCTCATCAGAGCAGAGTAAAGGGGCAGAATCACCTCCCTCGATCTGTTGGCCTTCTGGGCAGCAGATGCACATTGGTGGCTCATAGCTGACTCCTGTTCAGTTCTTGTCTACTGGAACCCCCATGTGTTTCCCCTTAAAGATTCTCTCTGGGCAGCTGACCCCAGCCTGTACTGCTGTGTGGTGTTATCCTGGCCCAGATGCAGGACTTGGTATTATTGCCTTTGTTGGGCTTCTCAAACTCCCTGTCAGATCATCTATCTGGCCTGTCCCTCCGTCTAGCAGCTCTGTCCACCAGGGGATCAGACGCTCCCCAACTCACTGCAGGGGAGTTCACATGCCTGTTGAAGATGCTGGCCCATCATCCCAACTTCCAGATCATTAACAATGATGTTAAACAATATTGGCCCCTATCAGTCCCTGAGGGACACCACTGGTAATTAATAAAAAAAAAAAAGAAAAGGTCACTGATTATATACAGACCTCTAGCTGGATCCAGTATGGCTATTCTGAAGTCATACCTTCAGTCTGAAAACCACATAAGTGAGCTTTTCACATAAATGGGAAAACATCAGCTGTTGGTTCTTCTTGGGGCTCTAATACACAACTCCAGAACCTTGTGGTAAAACAGAACACTGGCAGAACATTATGTAACATTATATAACTCTATAACGTTTACTGAAAAAGGAATTATTTTAGCTAGCTTCAGAGAAAGCAAGGAAACAATACCATCATAAAGAACAGGTTTGTTTCATTCACCTCAAGGCATGTATCACTGTTAGCTCATTCAGAATCTAAGACTAACAATAACAAAACTCACAAACATTGGTATCATGGGGTTTTTGTAGTTATTTAAGCTTTTATTTTGACTACACAGGTCAAGCCAATTCTGAAGTCTCTGAAAGGATCTCCTATAACAAGAAAGTTGGAAAAAATATGTTCAGTAACATGCAGGCATGCAATCATTCTCCAAGTGCCTATGCAAAATGGGCTTTCTGAAGGTTGAGCAGCGAGCTGTAATCCCACAGGTCTACACTCAGGATGCTGGAGGAGAGGTCACCTTCAAGTATGAAAACTATCCTTGTTCTTTTGGGAACACATGCAGACAGAGCTCAAAGCTCCTTCTCCATGAATTTTTCCCAAGTGCCCGATTGTGAAGGTTGACAAAAACCTATTTTTGCAGTTTCAGAGATCTTCCTTAGAACAGATCCAGACAGACAGACTCTTACAGCTGTGAAGATACCCAACTGCTGCTGGACTAGCAAACAGGTACGTAATGGCAGCTGAGGAAGTCGCTGGTGGAGTCACATCCTGGAAAGTGCTTTCTCCCCCGTCTTTGCCCTTCCTCAACAGTTTAAATGACTTGTTATTAAATGAGTCAGCACTGACCACTTTAAACACCCTTCCTGACTTGCGTTGCCAAAAACTTCCCATAAAAAAGTAAAACCCAACATAATTAGACTGGAAATGGGTGGCAGCAGTGAAGATGTCCAGATTTTAAAGAACGTTGTAGTAGTTATATGTGGAACACTGAACTAAAGACATCTATCCAGGAAAAGAGAATCCTATTTGTTCTTAAGAAAATTGTGGGGTTTGACTCCAAAAGCTGTATTTTCTGCACTGCATGCCACCTGCTTTGCACAATACTCTAGTCTGATTCTCTTCACAGTACAGATACGTAGACAGTGAAAATATGCCTAACACTGCAGCTTAAATCTGCAGTCTTCTTTTGTCATTTGTAGCACTATTAGTAAAGGGCCACATCAGGGTCTGAACAGATCTAGAGAAAACAAAGACCTAGTTCAACTCTGTACATAGTAACTTTTAAAAACAAATTCATTACTAAACATATCCAGTAATGACTTTAAGGGCAGTCTCTCCTGCCAGGAAAACAGGAATCTTATACCACTGCTGGCAGCAAACATACTCTGATACTATATAGTCTATAAGAAAAATCAGGCTGCAAAGTGCAATTATAAAGCAAAAACAACCCTCACATATCTTGACTAAGAGCAAGCGTTCAAACACATTTACATCAATTAGGATGATGTACTATACAGTACATGGTATTAAATAAGAATCAACACAGTTTGTTTTTTCTATTTAAAGAAAACAGATTTAGCTCCACAAGAGAGACTCAAAAGTGAGTTTCTCAGACAGGGCACCTTTGTTTCCTCCCTGCTTAAAATAAGTAGTGAAAAGCAGCAGCAACGTTCCAACTATTCTTTTTCAGTAGTACACAAGTATCACATAGCGCTTCTCAGCTTTTAACAAAAAGATAAACTGTGAAGTTAACTTCACAGCAAGAACAAACCCCTTTGCAAGTATATTTCAAACAAGCAGAAAAACAAAGTCCTGAGCATTACTGCTGATACACGGCTTAGCAGAACAGAAAAAACAATTTCTGATTAATTACACTATATATGCTCTTTCTGTGTAAATGTCCAAACAAACCCAGCCAGTGAGATCTCTACTGAACCATCTAGATTAAACAGTATGGACAAAACTGATAAACCAGTACAGCAAGTGGGGCATTTTATCAGGCAAGCGTTGGGAACTGTTGGTACTGCCAACACCGTCAGCAACTTCATGCTGAATTTGAACTGCACTCCACGCTCACACTTCAAGGGAACAAGCTCGCCTGAACTTTGGAGTGCTTTACCAGGAAAACAGTAAGCTCTCAGCATTCGGAAATGCTCAGACCCCTTACACTATATTCAAGGGAAGTGAAAGATGCTTAGCACTTCTGGAAGACGCAGTCATGGCATATTATATGTGCAATGAATCCACAGAGAAATAAGACCACTCTGCTCCTAAAAAGTATTCCAGAGGACTAAGAATGTGCATATTGTAACAGATATCTGTTAAAAGTAAGAATTTAGCATATGCAATAAACTTCAGCCTTTGCAACTCAAGGGGTTTCTGTTCGTTCTTAAGCTTCCAGATTTTACTGCTCAATTGTCTCAGGAATAGAAAAATTCATTGAACTTTATTCTACTTTGCCTTGAAACAAGTGGTTTAATCCCTGCAATGGGCTTCTTTGAACTGACTGGGATTTCTTCAAAACAGAAAAAGACAAATTACCACAAGTAAGTACAGAACAGCAATTACCCATCACAAACATTTCCCCGCAGCCCAGCTGTACAAATGTAAAACAAACCTTACAACAGTTTGTTTCCAGATGGCTATGACGATACAAACACAAAACCTGACCTCACTAGGATTTATTATTTTTTGTATACTTGTGATACATTGTTTCAAGATTTTGTGCAGATGCACAGATAAGTTTCGACTTGCTAACTTTAAAAATCAGCGTCCAAAATACAAAAATGGTATGAAGGAAACATACATGTTTTCATACATTATTTTTCAAAAAAGAAAAATTATATTGGGCATATCAAACGCCGATTTTGTAACTAAATAAGTTTTTAAAAATCGACAAAAACCGACGTGGCTGGCATATAATTACTTAGAAAACCACTTTAAAACTGTTGGGTTTTTTTTAAACCTCAATTACCACTGTGCGGGACACATTAAGAGGTCACCAAGATACAGTTCGCCTATTATTTCACTTCTTAAAATTCGGGTACTATCCTCGGGTGCAGCAAGAGCTCCAATCAATGCAACGCTCAGGCCGGACCGCGAAAACACAAAAGCTTCGCCAATTTCCCTGGAAGCCGCCCGCTCTCCCAAGCACCAAGCTGTGAGAAAAGGGGGAACGCTCCCATGCGGAAAACCACCGGG